TCCAACATGTCAGAAGTCATAATCCTCTCCGTGAAAATGAAACGAAGACAACAATCAATTCACGTTTCCTGTTCGACCACGGGTTGCAAAATGCACAAGATGATATGATGATTGTTGAATGGTGGTTTGAAAGAGATTGCTTGAAAAGAAATTCACTTGATATTTACATTTCGATTTCTTTTACAGGCCGAAATGCATGCCGTAAAATTGAAAATAATTTTCTTATTGCTCTCTGACCTGTAATCTAGACCGTAGAGATATGTCAGAAAGGGGTTTTATTGTAAGGCAATCAATGATAAAGAGGAATTCTCTCGGTTGGCAAATCCAGCTGAGTTTGGCCATCTCAGTTTGAACTTGATTAATTTAAGTAGCCGAGCAAGGAAAATGAAGAAATTTCGTTTTAAAAATAAATCTATGTAAAAAGCTGAGCTGATACGCACCAGATAAACACAAAAAACACACACACACACACACACACACACACACACACACACACACACACACACACAGTGTGAGTGAGTGAGTGAGAGGAAAAGAGATAGAGAGGGGAAGAGAGTGAGAGAGAAAGAGAAAGCGATAGAGAGAGAGTGAGTGAGAGTGAATGAGAGAGAGAGAGAGCCCGCGTTAATAAATCATGATAATTCATTAACTGCATCGTTGCTTTCTCCTTAATCTCGTCCAGTTTATCAACGATACTTTTGCAAAATTTTGATTCTTAAACAATAAGCATACTATAAACATTACCCTAGAAATTTAGTTAACTATCTACTAACATAAAATACTTCCAAAATACTATTTGATATAAATGGATAAACTAGGTTTGAACCTGGAGAAAGTTCTAATCAGCTAATTACAACTATAATCTATATCATATTAACAGAGACAATGAACGAGAGAAAGAAAGAGGGAGAGAGAGAGAGGGAGAGAGGGAGAGGGAGGGGGGACCTTAAAGCTGGTAGTCGATTGCTTCTTTATATTTACGTCTGTTATTTTTTTTTCTCACATGTAACAAATTATGCTTTCCGAGCAAGAAATCCACTTAATATTACGTAGAAAACAACTAACAAAAGTTCGCAACGAGGAAGAGGTGTTGAATAGGGTTTAAATAGAAGGAAAATTGGTAAAAACGAAAACCAGGTGAAAAGACAGAAGATACATTTACGGATTTGGATGAAGAAAATGCTTAGAGAGACTTGTAGCCTAAGTTTCAAAAGATCATTTTAGGCAGGTGAATATGGAACGACTGGAATTGTGATAGATTGAAAGTCTTTCTCTCTGAAGACATCACACGATAGACAAAACATAGAATGACTAATAATATTTTCGTATAGGTTTTCTTCTTTACATATAACATTATTCCATTTTTGTATAGCATCTAGATAAAAAAGAAATGTGCAACGAAGATGGAAAGGGATAAGAAAAACAATGAGATAATACAGACAAAGTACATGAAAAGAACAAGTATGAGATAATGAATAATCATAGTAGTGAACTTTCAGAGGGTTAAACTTGCTTCTATTGATAAAAAAAAAATCGTGTGTGAAGGGGTGGCGAGACTGTATACTTTCTTTATTTCACCAAGTTCGCAAAACAATTGCTTGTCATAGATTTGCATACATAACTTGTAAGAGTGCAGAGATTGAAAACTCAACGGCAAGTAAAGCAAACTCAGATTTCGCTAAACGGCCAGGTTTAACTGAATATTTCCCTTACGATACCTCTGTAATCAGTTACCTTTGATGATGTTCCCTCGTTACAGCTTCTCAGAAATTTCTCGTGGTAAAACTTTCAGAATTTATTGAAGCATTGATAGACAAGGGGAGAAAAATGACCACGACACATAAAAGGGATGCAATTACTGAATTCGGTCAAAGCATTTTCATATTGATTTTATAATAAAACGTTTTAGGTTTTGCTTAATCAAACTTTACAGGCTGATAGTTATATTTATTAAGAATATTTTATATATTTACAATTCAAAATAACCACCCTTTGCTTTCATCGAAGCAAGTAATCTCTTTTCAATTGAAGTTTATTATTTCTTCACTACCTCTTTACTCAAATTGTACAACGACGTTATGAGAGTTTCTTTCACGCTTAACATACTTGACTATGAAATACGTGAAACACCACTCTCTAATAAGGACCATATCACAAAGTCCATAGGATTAATATCAGAGTTAGATTTAGACTAAATTGACTTATCAGAAATAAACAGAAATGTCTGTTCCATGAGATTTGCGTCAAATCGGTCATGTGTCTGTAAGTTCAGTCTTAACTGAAGAAGTTACTTAGCAGAGGACAATGGGAGGACATAGAGATAAGATTTAAAAAAAGCTTATTTACTTTGAAAAATCAGCGTAGAGTTACTAGTTAGTAATTGGGTTCGATCGCCTACTACTGTTAAAATTGAGAAATACGCAAATTATCTTGACAAAGCGACGACAAAATACTATAGAATTTTGATCAAATTTTGAACCTTTTTTTTAATTTTCGGTATTATGAGAATGAATGGTATAAATCGAATTCCACGTTGTCTTAATTGTTTTAAAAAAAGTCTTTTTGTCACCTTCCAAAATTCTAGGGTGAGAGGCCATTGCTACTATATTCTTTGCCACTCATTACAGCAGGAAGCAGATACTTGCAGAGTGACTGAGAAGAAATGTTCATTATTTGTAAGAAGAAATAATTATTAAAGATGAAAAGGAGGAGTTGCAATAAATTGCTGAACACTTACAGTTACAGCTGTTACAGAAATCCAGGCAAATATCAGCTGCATTTCAGCGAGTGAAAAATGTTTGAAAATGTAGGAAGCTTTCGTCACATTTTAACGCCGGGTGGCTTGACTTACAAGTCTAACAATGTTCAACTACGTTTGTTGATGTTTTTAATGTCTTTCTTATAGACAGTTATTTTTTAAGAAAAGACCATTCACTTGGCAGTTTAAGATAATGTGTAATATTTGAAAAAAATGTAGAATTTCATTCCGCGAGTTTGTAAAAGTAAAACATCGAAATGTTCAGTTTCATTTATTGTATTTTTTCTTAAATTTAATATAACAAATATTCTGTTTGTACGAAAATCGAATTTATAATGGACAATGATAGAAAAAATACGAGCCGTTTCTTGACTTCAATGGCAGACAGCATGCTCAGATATAAAAGATGTTTTCTGTACGAAACCCAACTTGCTTGCCGTATATTCATCGAATTTTGTCTATGTAAATATTGACAGAATCCTTATTTTAAGATATCGATTAGTTTACTTTGGTAAAGCCACCGGCCTTAAGGGAGGAATTATTTTAAGATATCCAGTGTGTTTAGGTGTTTTTAATGCTCCAACTAATTTCCGATAAACAAAAGCCGTTTGCGAAGAGAGGTTAAATTCTTTTTTAACAACGTCTAATTTGTATTTAGGGCCATTGCTACTATAACAAATTCAACAATCTGTAAAAAGATGTAAAAAGCCACATTGCAATAAATAGCCGGGCATCTACAAAGCAATTAAAATCACCAGGCAAATATCATCTGCATTTCACAGCTTGAGAAATATGTGGGCCTGTGTAATTGAGTGATAAGGCGACGTTTTTTTTTGTGCAATGAATAAAATAGTTATTAAAATTGTCATGTAACCTGACTTCATTTTTCTGTAGATTATAGTTTCGTTATTTACACTATTTACAATATTTGGACTGTTATTCTCACCTTTGTCTCCATATTCACGACGTTTCTTCCGGTGATTGCAATTTCGGACTGAACTGAACACTTTATTTCCGTCACTGAATTACTTCAACCAACGCTTTTAGCCACTGGGCCATGTGTTTTTGGGCACATGAGTGTATGAACTTTTGAGACTTATAAAAGCGTCGATTGAAATAATCAGGCGACTTGACCTAAAGAGTTGTAAGTTCAATACCTGGCTACAGTAGAAGTAAACAAAAAGTTGGGGAGTTGAGTTAAAGGGAAATAACTGATACTGAGATATCCGTCATGGAACGTGGAACTAGACGGTGAAGGAAATAAAGGGTTCAGTTCGAAATTCCAATCTTCTGAATAAGGCTAGAGCGAACAACGACCGAAAAGTCGTAAATATGACAACAAAAAATGTAGATAACAATCTGAACATTGTATATAATTACAGAAACATAGACAGATATTATATTTTCATGTATTCATATTCTGAAACGGCTCACATTATCTTTCACTGACATTATATCGAAATGAAAATCAAATACAATCACGAGGAAAGATCCTTCGACAGAAACAGATTGAAGGCTTCCTTGTGTTTTTGTTATACTTGTAAAATCTGAAGGATTAATTGTGACAAGATGAAGAAATAATTGTATTTTATACACTACAGTAAGACGGGTTGAATTAACGAATGATAAAACAGATTCCATTCAAAGACTGCATTGAAAAACAAATGGCTTCTGTGTTGGTTTAAAAAAACTTTGTTCTCCATAAAACCAAAATGTGTAAATATCTATAAAAAAAAAAACTCAGGTGAATGATTATGGACTGAGATATTTACGTATTATCCTTAATTACTAGAGGTCGGTATTCGAAACCAGATAAAAGCTATGATTTTGAATATTGATGTTAAAACTGGCTTCATTTGTTTAAAGTGGCTCAAAACAATCTTTCCAACATTCCCTCTTCCCGTTTGATATTTTGTCAGACTAAGCTAAACTTCGTAAAAACTGTCTAAGTTTAATTTTTTTAAAGATACGAACATCAAAGAAAGAAATCAAAGTGTATGAACGGTCAATGCAAAAGTGGAATAAGACAACGTGAGAGAGTGTCAAAATAGGAAGTCCATTTCTGCAGAGCGTTGGTCTAAGAGGCTTTGCAAATTGCTGCAGATTAAAGAAATCCTAAATACCCCCCCACCCACAAAAAAACAACTAAAACAAAAGAAAAGAAAAACTGAATATCCTGAATAGAAAAATGGAAATTGTTGGAATACGAAAGAGCAGCAGGTGAAGAGACAGCGAGAGAAAGTCAGTGAGGGAGAGAGAGAGAGAGAGACTGAAAGAGAGAGAAAGAAAGTGAGAGAAGCAGAGAAAGTGAGAGAAAGAGAAAGAAAGAAAGCGAGTGAGAGTGAAAGAGAAAGAGAGAAAAACGAGAAAAAGAGAGAGGGCAAGAAAAAAGCGAGAAACAGAAATCAAGAAAGAGAGAGAAAGATAGAGAAAGAAAGCGAGAGAGAGAGAGCAAGAAAGCGAGAAAGAGAGCAAGAAAGAAAGCAATTGAGTAAGAAAGAAAGCGAGGCAGAAAGAGAAAGAAAAAAGTGAGAGATAGAAAGACATTTAGAGAGCGAGAAAGAGAGAGAAAGAAAGCGAGACAGAGGGCGAGAGAGAGAGAGAGTAAGAAAGAAAGCAAGACAGCAAGAAAGAAAGTGAGAGAAAGAAAGATAGTGAGAGATAGAGAAAGCGAGAGAAAGAGAGAGAGAGAGAGAGAAATAAAGATAGTGAGAGAGAGAGAAAGAAAGCGAGTGAAAGATTTATAGGGAGAAACAAAGAAAGCAAGAGATAGAAAGAAAGAAATCGCGAGAAAGAGAAAGAGAAAGAGAACGAATGTGTGAGAGAGAGAGAGAGAGAAAGAACGAATGCAAGAGAGAGAAAGAACGAATGCGAGAGAAAGAGAGAGAGAACGAATGCGAAAGAAAAAATGAGAGAGAAGCAACGAATGTGAAAGAAAGAACGACTGCAAGAAAAAGAGAGAGACAGAGAAAGAACGAATGCTTGGGAAAGAGAGTGAAAGAAATAATGTAAGAGTAAGTGAGTGAAAGAAAGAAATAATGCCTGAGAGAAAGCGAAACAAAAATGAAAAAGTAAAAAAACGACAGAATTTTGATAGAGCCAATAATAGAGCTAAGAAATTATTTGGAAAGAAAGTAAAAGAATTATGTAATTCTTTAAATCATGCAATACTCCACGAAGACATAAAACAAAATTAAACGGACATTTCAAAATAGAATATTGAAGAATTATGAATCATTTAGACAATAAAGAATCTCAAAAAGAGCCTTGAAAAAATATTTCAACTCGACCTCTAACCTATCATTAAATGCAAAATACAAATGAAAGGCACGCAGAAATGGTAGGAGCTGATTGGTCGAATTCTGAATCTTTTTGCTAAAGTGAATCTGGCTTCTCGTCCGTCAAACTGGCGAACACAAGAAAAAAAATCCATTTTTCTATTATCAGGAAAGCAAAAAGAAAATCGGAAAATCGAAAAAAATGAGAGGAAATTTTTCTTATAATTTTTTTCTGTATAAAATGGCGATTATATTCCATCTTACGTTTCTATTGTTAAATTTAAAGGAAAAACCAAAAATCGTAGAATTAGAGAACACCTAACTTTTTATTCTATTTTGCTTTCAGCGATGACTGCTCAAATAGTGATTTGCAAAATTACTCATTTGTTGTATATTTTATGTTGGTTTCTAACACATTTCTTTATTCCATAGATTAAACCGTATTTTTATTTTATTTTATAAAGGACTGTTTGAAGCTAAAAGTCAAGTGATTCTTTAGTAAAATTCTCGGCAACTTGTAGAAAATAATTTAAAGTTGGCGTAAATCATACCTGTATCTTCAGAGGCAAGGGTTTCTGCTCTGGATTGACACTGAAAGAAAATTATTTTCTTGGATGAATACACAAAATTTGTTAGTTGGAAATATTAATAGACATATTTACATTTTAATAAGAGGGACGAAAGGGGACTTATGCAATCTTCTCTGCATTTAAAAATGGTAATACTGTGACCAAAACAAATCTCAATATTCATCAATTTAAGGGAGATATTAAATGACACATTTATGGGAGATATTAAGTGACACATGTTTAACACATTAAATACAAAGAGCTGGTACTTAGAAGTTGAACGATGAACTACTTTTATGTAAAATCGATAGAAATAGTTCCGTTAAAAATAAAAGTGAGGTCACTCAATAATTTTCTGTTACCTGCAACAAAATGGAAAGGTGTTTTCACGTGTAAACAAAAATGAAAAACATTTAACCCGTTAGATACAAAGCATTTGACAATTCTGATAATGGTGTAATTCAAAAGTATAATTCATCTTCACCTGTATTCTTCAACTGTTACATTTGCCCCTGGCAATTTATTTGAACCAACTTTAGTCTCATTATTTGCTCATTTTCCAATGAAACAATAATTTCTTTCAGTCGAACTATTCGATTTGTTATAGACATATCATTCTTTGAAAATTACTTCCTGTTTCACTCCTGTATATTCTGTTTGTAATATCAAATGATTTGACGTTTAATAGTAATACATTCGGACGAAACTTATGTTAATTATTTACATTTTCCTAAGAAAAATCTAAAATATTCGGCACAATTCGAATTCGAACTGAACCCTTTATTTCTTCCCGGTGGACGAAATAAAGGGTTCAGTTCGAATTTCCAGTCAACTGAAGAACGCGTGAGCGTACAACGGTCGAAACGTGTATATGGCAATAAAGATGAGGACAACAGTCCAAACAATGCAAATATGTAAATAATTACAATACCTCATCTTAGAAATATAGACAGAATTTTTTTTTTTTTTTTATCATTGATTCTATTATATGATTCTACCACCAGACCGTTGTCCTATACAGGCGATAATCTTTTATATGGATGAGATTTCATTTGATCCTAAAAACCCATCAGTTCAGAAACCTTAACTCCATCGTTCTAAATCTCGGTAACATCAAAGTCATTTTTAAAAAACTGTTTCGCTACTATAGAACAGATCTTGATATTCGAAAATACAGAATTATTTCTACTTGCTTGGGTGTTATAATTCAACAAAATCCTTAGAAAAGTTGTTAAGTACTTTAATTATCCCTTGTTTAGATATGGAGGGATAGAAATCCTTAGTGTTCTATTTGATGAATACATACATTTTTTTTATTTTTCATTCCGAAACCAAGAAACATATTCATCAGAATTTTCCACTGTTTAACCTGTGTGGCGGTTCGTAATAAGTGGTACATATTTTGTAAAGTCGTATGGGGTATTTGGTCCAATTCAGTTTTGGTTGAATTGATCAGGCGTAATGAAGGACTATCAGGAAAATTATATTTGTGGTCCTTTACTGTTAAGAAGGCTTGTTTTTCGTATAGTTTTTTGACGCTGTCATTTATAGCCAGCTTGTATATGGTATTTTTCACCTATTCATTAATCTTTTTAATATATGAAATATGTGCTGTTTTATAGAATTTGGTAGCCTCCTCACATCCCCCCCACTCATAAACCTTCTGGTTTATCACAGAGAAGTTTACGGATTTATCGCCCTTAATAAGGATTTTTGGTTTTTCTTTATCATTTTCACCTCTGTAACAAGAGTTTTTTTTTTAAATTACGCTTTACTTTTATAAATATAATTTTGTTCATTACGTTAACTATATCTTTTTCAAAACCAGCCAAATCGTCAATCACAGGAGGCTATTTCCTGGTTTTAAAGTTTGATTTTTTGAAATTTCTTCCTTGCTTCTTACATATTTATGTAAGAAAAATAATGCTTTTGTAAGCGTTCTGAAAGCAAAGGAAAAGTTTGTCGCACATTACTTCCACCACGCAGAGAACAAGTCACTGTAAGTTCAGACTCAAATATCGGGGGCAGAAAGAAATGCCGAAAACTCGATTCGCAGGTACTATCTCAAAAATCACAATGCATGTAACCAGTCAGAAAAATCACACACTCTACGACGAACGCGGTAGCCAAAATACACCAGTTTTTGATATTTATTGTATTTAGAATACAAATTACGGCACAAGGCCAAAATGGGGAGGGGTTTGAGACTGGGCAACACTAACTATCTTATACCTAATTAATCCGATTCACGACCCATTCATACATTACAATTTCCGCATTCACCACAATAACTCGTCCGTCCCCAATCAATCCTCCATACACCATAATACCACGTTCTTTCAAGGGAGACCTACAAAATGCGCACCATGTCATAAAAATCTAATGATAGTAAAATATAATATATAAAAATCTAATCATGAAGAATGAGAGGGGAGGGAAATGAACCCACTAATAAACTAAAAATCAACACAAAGTAAACTAAACATAACTGATGTTAGTAGGGCCCATCCAACCCTCAAAATAGAGAGGCCGCTGTATTCTGCCTATGGGACAAAATCAAGAGACATTCTCGCTAAGGGAATGGGAAAAGGATAAAAATCATACGGGCATAGGAAAATATAAATTTGACCCAAACGAGATAAAAAGGGGCCAAAACAAACTGGGGAGGTTGGGAATCTGAACCTGGATCATAACTAAAGAGCAGCCGGGATACAGGCCAGGAACAACACTTACTCACATTAACTAGGTACACAAAATTTATCTAACCTAACCAGGGGAGGGTTCCAAAGGAAGACGCCTCGATGTGACATAGGTTGACCTAAAAGAGAAAATCAAGGATAGCCCCGTTCAAACGAATCAAGCTAGACTCTTTCACCTACCTTTCTCTGAAGACTGTCAAAAACAATCGTTTTCTATCAGTTCTAATCTTCATCTTGAGCCGATGCTCAACGAATCGGATCAGATACTGATGAGAAAGACCGTTGCCTCGCAAGACTTCCTCCGTTCGCGTCGTCCAAATCACCATTCGGGCCGTGAACAGCAGCGTTAGAAACACCATTCGTTTCACCCCAGAATATGGGGGCGACACATTGTCACGCGCATATGCACGATCAGTGAGCACGAGCCTTTCGGGAGCGAGACGAGCCGTCATCTTACCGACATGGTCCCATAAGGCGCGGACCCAGGGACAATGGTAGAAGGCGTGCGAATCAGTTTCCTCTAAACCAAGGCCACACCGTTCAGTCTGCCAAATCCGCCAAGCCCCATAGGAAGACCTTGTCATTGAGAGGCAGCCGATTCCGAGCCAATCGCCAGGTAAGCGAAAACTCAGGGTTACTGAGATAATCCGCCGCTGGCACCCAAGACCAGAAAGAGCGACACTCCTCCTCCGACAAATCGAGCAGCTCATGTAGAGAATCCTTCGCGACCACCTTCACTGAATGACACGGATGTTATGCACAGATTCATCTGTCGACCTGATGCCCGCGTCCTTTCCATAAAATGGAGGATAGTGAGCGCTCGAGCGGGTTCCTATGGTCTTTACAGAGAGGAAGTACGGACGACCGATAAAGAACAATTGGGAAAACGTAAGTGGCACACGCCTCCGCCCTGCCCTTTACGGACAACCTCCGTCGACGCCAAGTCTGACCGGCCCCGTCGATCTTTGCTCGTACTTCAGACCTATTTTTCTTCAGCTTGAGGTCGGGTCCAAACCACGCTCCAAGAAAGCAGACAGGACCGTCCGTCCAACCGAAAGGCCCCGGAAGATCGACTCCCTTCCAGACACCTAACTGCAAGCCGGACGACTTGTCGCGGTTAATCTTGGCCGCTGTCACCTTTTCGTACAGATCAAGCGCCTTCAGTACCGCCTCAATGTCGCTGCGGTACGACACGAAAGCAGATACGTTATCGGCGTACGCGGAAACACTGTATCGACCACCTCCAGGAACGGCGATTCCACGTAGGGCCGGACTGCACGCCCTGTCCCTTGGACAGCGAAGGAGAGGCTCCAACGCCAAAGCATAAAGTAGGGGCGACAGTGGACAACCCTGACGAACCGACCTAGACAGCGCAAAAGCGCCCGACAGCTTCCCGTTCAGCTGTACCACAGCACTAGGGGAGCGATACAAGAGGCTAATCCAGCGGCAGAATTCGGGTTCGAATCCGGCGGCCTGCAGGACATCAGCAAGGTAGCGATGGTCAACCCTATCAAATGTCTTGGACTGATCTAAATTGATCAGCGCGGCCTCATCGTCGTCTTTTACACCCTATATGATCATGCAGATCAGATGCAGGTTGCTCTGAATTGTTCGGCCCCTCACAGAACAAGTCTGCTCAGGACCCAACAGAGACTCGGCAACTGCAAACGCTCCAGCAGGATCTTGGCCAAAATCTTTAACTCTGTGTTTATCAAAGTTATGGGACTTTAATCATATAAATCCCGCCCAACACCCTTGCCCTTTTTCAACAGAGTGATCACACCCCTGGAAATCCGGTTGGGATGGACCCCGACCGGAACCAGTTGTTGAACACCACAGTCAAAATCGGGACAAAGATGTGCGACAGTGTCAAGTACAATTCATAGGGCAAACCATCCAGACATGGCGACTTGTTTCTGCCAATTTTCTTCAATGCCGCGTAGACTTCGCCCTCCGTGATCTCTCCCTGGCAGCTAGCCGCTTCAGTCGGCGAAAGCCGAGGAAAGTCATCCAAATAGCTGCGAATCTCCTCCTCACGGAGACCAGGCCCCTTGGTAAACCGGCTCTCGAAATGTCACCGAAACGCCTCGCACATGTCAGTGGCCCAAAGAGTACGCCCCTCCAGGGAATTGACCTCACGGATGTAACGATCGGAATCTCGATGAATCTCTTCCTTGCGCAGATCTGCGCCCATGTTCACAGCTTCGGAAGACATCTTGCTTAACCTATGTCTAATTAACTGGCCCATGTAGCGCTCGCTACTCAAACGCGCCAGGTCCTCCCTGGCTAAGGCTATCTCTAGGGTACCCCCCCCCAGACACCGCTCGGGAAAAAACTAGCCTTAAGCGTATTCACATTCTCAGCTCTATCTAGGATGAGACGTTTGCTGAAATCAGTGATGAACGACCTAATTTCTACTCGTAAGTCTCTCGCACCACTTATTCCCGATAACCGTCCCCACTAACTCCCGATGAACTAAGCTAGTTAACTGTTCCTGGAAGTCCCGCCTGTCCATTAAAGACAGATTGAACTTCCAGTAACCAGCCATTCTAAGCCTACGATCTAACGCCACCCGGACACAAACGAGTTTGTGATCCGAATAGCCTACCCAGTGGAACGTCGGACAATCTAACAAGTCTACGTCGGCTCCTCTAGCTCACATTCTGTCCAGGTAGCTAACCACCAGGTCACAAGGCCAATTATGAGCCCACGTCCACATCCGGTATCTATCAACGAGACCAAAATCGTTGATCAGATCAACTAAGCTACGATCGCCCCTACACTCGCTAGCACCCCGCCCTCGGTCTAACTTGGGGTCCAGGATGGCATTCCAGTCCCCCATTAGAACTAAGCGCGTTGAATCCTCCAGGAACAGCCCCAACTGCCGAAAAAAAACGAGAAACTTTTGCAATTTTTTCAAATCAGGAGACCTCATCTCCACCATTCTAACGTCTGGGAAAGCCTCCTTGCCTCGCAAAGGGTATCTCATATAGTTAATCTTCTCCCCACGTCCCTAATCACTGTTAGGACACCCGAGGCTTTCGGGTAATTTTGGGGGTCTTCTATTGACACCCCACCGACCGAAGTCATTTTAAAGAGAGGCCTTAGAAAAGCTTTTTGTTGCGAGGAAAGGCCCCATTTCATAGTCTTCCTCTAGGGAATGGCCTCTTCTTTTTCCGGGAAGTGCTAGGAGGCGCGCAGTTGAAGGAGGGGTGTTGGAAGGAGGGGTGTTCTGAACGGGTTTTATGGGGGAGGGGTTTTGGCTGGTGGAGTGTTGGGAAGTAGGGGGGAGTGGAGCCCTAATAGGGGAACAAGAAAGGCTCCTTTTGTTTTCCAGTTTTTTGACTGGGGAAGCAGGGACGGATTTGGACTTGGTTTTGTCCAAAACCTTCTCCGTCCTGCTTCGACCAGCCCATTTCTCTTTCTTCGACACATTTTTCTCTTCCTCCTCTCTCCCTCTTTTTAAAGAGACAGACCGCGGTGGGGGCATCTCCTCCATTTCCACTTCTTGATGCTGCTCCAGTTGAGAGTCATTATGCTGCATCTTCCGTGATCTTTCCTTCTGCTGTCCTTGCTGACACTCCTGTTCCAATTGAGGCTTCTTCTGTTCGCACTTTTGTTGCTGATGATGCTGGTCGCGTTTCCGCTCCTGCAGAGGGTTTCTTTGGGACGTGCTGCTTTTGTGAGGGGGATACAACCTTTGTTCCCTTCTTTACCACTTCTGTCCACTCTCCAGTACCTTTTTTTTGTTACTTTGGCACTTGTGTCAGTGCTTTCCTTGGCCGTTGTATTTTCCGGTTGCGATTCCGGACTCTTCCCAGGACACGTTTTGAATAGATGACCGGCCGATCCACAGGCCCAACAGAGAGGGCATCGTCCTTCAACAGTCACGTAGATGGGACGTCCTTCACAAGTCAGTACATTTGGAATAGCCACAAAATCTTTCCTGGTAACCGTTACCATGACTTCTACATCTTCAGTAGCTATCCCGGCTTTACTTTTGATGGCCGAAACACTGGCCACCTCGCCAAATTTAGAAAAGAAATAACCCAAGTGGTCAAGTGAAATAAACAGCGGAACTCCATGCAAGATTACTTTAGTTTTCCTTGTACCAAGGTACTCTGTTTGGAGTCTCACTGACTTGGATGATAATATGCTCCCCGCCATGATTTAGCTGCGTCTTCTGATGCCAGCAGGATGTTCAGGCATTTGATTGCTTCCTCCATTACGCCCCTGTTTACTCCAATCAGCGAGTCTTGACATCGGTATTTACCAAGGAGATAGTTTTGGTGTTCACCACTTCTAGTAGAGATGGCACCGGTACCAATTTATTTTCCTTCACAAAACTTTCAAACTTCTCCGAGAGTCCCTTATAATATTCGGGTCCTTTTTGAGCTGGTTTATCACGTGCCCACACCGAAGGGGTTGCTGGCGTGGATGTCTCCTCTTGGAGTTAGGACTGCGCCATAGTGTTGGCGCTGTCACAACATCGGTTAGAACCACCGGTCAAACACAAAAAGAAGTCACACAAAACAATCTAGGTACAATGGATAGAAAACAGCAATTAAAAAGACGTAACAACACTTACTTTGAGACAAAGTAACGCACAGAAACTTCAAAGGAATAACAAACATAGAGACTGATATACAATGGCGTTCATTGTATATCAGTCTCTATGTTTGTTATTCCTTTGAAGTTTCTGTAGCCAAAATACATCAGTTTCGGCCGAGCAGATTTTTCATTCGTCGACAACTGGGAGAGGACGCCAAGTATTTTGCATAACAAAATACTTTTATAGAGACTCCTGCGACGGACTTGTTTTTAATTTAAATATTTCGTCTTCAGCATGTCATGCGGAATACGTGCCCTTTTTTTGGTAAGTAATTTTCTTTTCCGTCGTAGGATACACACGCCGCGCTGTCGCTTGGTTTGACGAGGTAAGTCGCCATTTTCTTCGCCGTAGCTTTTCATCTCATTCTCGCAAGAAATTGCTCACTTTTCTGAAATATCAGCATGTATTTATGCCTGTGAGGTACAGGGATGTTATTTTTCAACGAGTACGTGAATTTAAACTCTTGCATTGCTACTTCTTCCACTATTTAATTAACTATGGCCGTTTGAATATAACAACCCTACTCCAGGGGAGAATTTTACGCAAATTGATGCGCATGTTATGTTAAACACACCGGATATTCAAACACTTTGAAGCGTTATCAAAAGAGCTCTACCTTAAATCGAAAGCGAATATTACAATAAAACAGTTTTTTAGGTCAAAGTTAGAAAACTGTTATATAAAAGAGTGCTCAATACATGTGAAAAAAAGAATAACCGAATGTGCAGAGCTATTAACTATTAAATTCAAGGAATACTAACAACTTATGCTACTATGGCTTCCACAGGTAATGTTTCTTCAGGCAGTTAATTCTATTTCGCGAATACCTTGTTTATTTATTTGAACATTCTCAATGGGAATTCGGTTTGAAGGGGAGTGGCAAATTAAGAGTAGTTGTTATGTAAGAGAGTAAATTAATAATAAGGAGAGAAAGAATGGTAGAGAATGTAAGAAAGGGAAAAATTTAATAATAAGTGAGGAGGCAAAGTAAGAGTATAAAGAATTTAAGGGAGAGTGAGGAAGAAAAATTTAATAATAAGGGGAGGGCTAACTCAAAGGAAGAGAAAAAGCAAAGAAGAAATAAAATATTTTAAAAAAAGCAAAACTAAAGGCAATTTAAGGTGAGGGGGGGGGAGAAAATATATTAATAATAAAGGGAAGGGCAAAGCAAGACTATAAGGAATAGAAAGGAGGTGGTGAAAAAAAAATATTTAGTAGAGTAATGGTTTGAAGCTTGGATTGCGGAATCGGAGAGCCGAGAAGGAATTCATTATATTAACTTACTTGAGAAATATATGAATGCATCTCTTCTCTCCTATGGGTAAATGGAGTCTTCCAGTATGTCCTGCTATTATAAGCTTGGGTGGCGAACGGTCTAGGAGAAGGAAAACACTGATTTCAAAACCTGCAGAGGGTTGTTTGGGGACCCCTGTGGCATACTGTACACCGGTTCTCTGTATTTGATTCTTCCAAAAAGTGTGATTGGTTCTGCACAAGCCTTCACCGCTATAATCAAAAGATATGCGCAGGTAGTATATATATATATATATATATATATATATATATATAGTGAGAGAGAGAGAGAGAATTATAACAAAAACATGTTATAAACCTACACAAATGCAACATGTTTCAGCAATGTAAGTGCTTCTTCAGGCTGTGATGATCAGCTGGATAATAAACGATAATTCTATGATTTGAAAGCACCAATACCTCACAGGAATTGGGAGGGGAAAAACTAAATTTCTAACATGTAGGAGGTAACCTCGATGAACCAATCAGATGTCGGACCTATGATGAGTACGAAATTAACTTCCGTATTGGGTTCTTGTTGACTGTACACGTCATTTAGAATCACATTTAAATGTTAACAAAGTGTCTAGTTTATAGTATTTTTTGGTCAATAAGATAACATAAGAAAGTAAACTATCGAGATGAAAGCAAATGATAAGTGATTAAGACGGTGATATACGCTAGCTTCATGCGGGGGATCTCGCCATTATTTATTGTAATCATAAGATATATTTCTACCAATAAACCTGTCCACGCTCCTCATCTATATGGGTGGGCAGTGACCATTAGCTCAATAGGATAAAGTACGATAAGGTGGCAGGGAGAGGGGGACTGGGCAGAGGAGAGGGTAAGTAGGGTGCCGTTGGACTTCGTCTCTAACGCGTGAACCCGGAGTGAGTGGGTCTGTATTACTTTTATGTTTATAGCTTTTGAACGTCCCTTTAATAAGCAAGCCAACCGAAACCCCAAAAATTAATTATAATAGACCCAGAAATTCGAAAGCAGCTTTAATAACGACCAATAAGCAAACACGCACACACACATACACGCATGCACACACACATACACACATATATGTATGCATGTATTAAATTCTATTCTGTTTCGAGTACTTTTTAAAAATATGTTTAGAGATATTGTAATTAACCTACTTTACACACACACACACACACACATATATATATATATATATATAATGCCAACTCTTTGTGTGCAGAGAATTAGCATTGGTTGAGTCTGCAGCCTGGGTCACCCACGGAATTTTTTTTTTTTTTTAGTGAATTTTGTTAGTGGAATCACGATAAGTTAAACGAGCCTCCAAATGAATGTTTACCTTGGGGTCCCCCCAGAGTATCTAGTAAATGTAACGTTGAAAGTAATAAAAATGATGTCGGATTGCATGTTTTAAATTAAACACGGCTAGGCCGTTAAATCTTGCTGGAGCCGAGATGTCTAAAGAAGGGTTTGCACGCATAATTTATAAATGACTCTTGAATGCACAGACCGATATACATAAATTCACTTTTTAAAACACAAGGTTATCTACGCAAACACGTCTAACCACTAAATAGATTAATTTAAAGTGATATTTTTAAGGCAATTCACCCCAAGCAAGGCTGGGGTGCCACTAGCATGCAAGGAGTTATAGAGGATTGAGAACAAGAGCAAAGAGGCGTGTTTGAGGAAAGAATACAGAGAAGACGAGGAATAAGCTCAGGGTCTCAGATGTCGATTGACATGACACTTGAATATTTGAAGATTATAGTCATCGGGGAAGCAGGTAAGGGGTAAGGAGTTCCACAAACGGTAAGTGCGGGAGAAGAAGCTGTTTGAGAAGAGACGTTTTGACATGAAAGTATGGGACCGAGATGCCAGCCTGGTAGCTCGTTTAAATTCGTGTAGTCCGGGAACCAACGAAAGTAGCTCGTCGGAACAGCTGCCGTGAAAATACATGTAGAAGAGACAAAGGTAGGCCACGGCACGTCAGTGGTATAGCAATTGTAGACATGATGCCAGATCAGGACCTATCATCTTGCATATTCGTCTCTGGTTTTGTCAAGGACCTCGAGATCAGCAACCAGGTTAGTTTTGTCAACGATACCAGATTTATTATTGAGGCAGGCGTAAATTGTAATATCGTCCGCGTAGATGTCAACTTGGAAACTGATGACATCGGGAAAGTCATTGATGAAGATCAGGAACTGTGTAGGGCCCAAGATAGAGCCTTGGGGAACACCAACGTTCGTGATAAAGGAGCCAGAGGAGAACTTGTTTAGGACGACATTCATTGCATGGCTTGACAGGAATGATTGTCAAATAATCATCCTGTAATACCGTATCACTGAAGCTTACGAAGAAGGTAAGCATGACAAACTATACCAAACGCTTTAGAAATGTCTAGAGCCACGGCTCGAGCTTCTTCATTATTGTTGAATGCTTGGTATACAAATTCAGTTATGGCCGTGAGCACGTCAGCGGTAGATTGGGCAAAGCGGAAATCATATTGCGTGTCGGAGAGCAGATTATGTGAAATGAGGTGCTTAATCACTTCGGCGTTAATTAAAGCCGCGAAGACTTTACTAAAGAGTGGTAGGAGACTGATAGGACAGTAGTTAGACGGGTCAGAAGGGTGACCAGGGTTCTTAAAGACAGGCACAACAGATGAGGACTTCCAATAGGCTGGAAAGCCAGAGTCAGTGAGGAAGTAGTTGTAAAGTTTAGAGAGGTCAGGAGTCAAATCAGGAGCACATTTTTTTCTGGACAATGGCCGGCATCCTGTGCCTATCACTAGCCTTATGGGAGTCTAATTTAGATATGAAGTCCAATACCATCGTTGGTGTTGTGTGCATCTCACTTATTAGAGCCTCGGTTCTAGGAGGAAAGTCCAGTGTGGGTACACCAGATGAGTCTAGCGTTGAAATGGATGAGAACTTATGAGCAAAGCATTCAGCCTTATGAGGCGGCCAGGACCTCAAATTGGTTGAATAAAGGGAGTATTGAGGGTTTACTGTTGTTCTGCACGCTTTTGAAGAGCTGCCAATAATCTTTTGAACCAAAC